ACAACGCTTACCTCAGTGGTAATTCCTGACTTTGTGTACATGTTATCTTTTTATTGTTAATTCGCTTTCTTCTTCTTTGCTTCCGTCCGAAGAAACGAAAAGTTACTTTATACTCCATTTTAACGGATCTGTATACGAAGATTTGAAAGTTACGAATATCGTATTAGGCTCGCACGCGGCGCGCGCGCTCACGTTCTTATCAATTCCGCAATTTTTCTTCTTTCGACCGAAACCGAAAGGTGCATGAAATTTTTCCACTTTCTCGTTCTATTATTGATTTTTCACTCTCGTTTATTTCCTTCTTTATTTATATTTTTTTTTAACTCGGCGCGTGCACCGCGTGCGAGATCCCAATCGCATAATGTGTACTACAACGATCGGCATCGCACACGATCGTTTCTACTTTTCCACTCGCATGTATAGTACCATATAGTACCTGCTACGTGGTACGTAACGTATCGTTTCGATTAATCATAATTGCTTTGCGATGTTGTTGTTGTTGTAGTACGGCGTCGTGCCTCGTTGGACCATTGATGCTGTATGTGGGGCCCCCAACAACCTGCTACAGGCGGTGAAATTCAATTGTTACTTTTAATTGAATTTATCATTATATATCGTATAAATAATCCAAGTCTCGTTGCGCGTTGCGTATATATTCTGCGCTGCAGCTAGACGCGCACGTATACATCGTCGAAAAATTCATGAGTCACGAGTGATTATGGGTGGGATCGATCGATCGATCGGCGGTCCGCCATGAATTCCGCCGATTTTTCTCCAATGTCTAATCGATATTCTCGAGATGTGTGTGCACGTTTTACGCAACAAATATGCAATGGCGGTACCAAAATGTTCCGATTCAGGGCATGAATTCGCGCAAAAATATCAATAAATGCCTCCTGGGAAAAGCGAATCTAATCGGCATTTATCCCGCCTAGCTTATGCGCGGTGTATGTGTGCCGAATTCTAAATCCGATATCTCTATAGGCTACTACTTATATTATAATATACTTAGGAGTGCATGTAGCATAGGCTTAACATTGCCCGAGATAAGAAATGTTTTGCCCGCGCGCGCATAAACTTTTCCATGTCGCTCTGTAAACGTACATATAATGTGTACGACATAAAGCGGCAACAACATGTATAGCATGTGCAGGTCGTTGTGTATGTATATCTAAAACGGCTGTAAGCGATAGAAATGGTGCAGGCTGCGGCTGCACCACGCCGTGTTCTTGATTTTCACTTGTAAATATGCGAATCGAGTCAGCGAAAGAAACAACGAAAAAAAATCGCCACTTTATTCGAAAATTGTGCAATGGACTTCGATGCCTAGTACAGATAACACGTGGTACAGCTTGGAGTCTAATTAAAGAAAAGAATTGTCGAAAAAATTGTGTACCTGCCTATACTATATTATGTACTTGCGCTGATGAAAAAAGGACGATTTATCGGGGCTCGATCGTTGCCTTTATATAGGCAAAAATTGGAAAGTTCCTTTTTTACAAGAGTATATAAACACGAGTCGTTTCATTGGAATCGCATTGAACTTGACAGCGAGTAGGAAAGAAAGGCATTAAAGGTGCTTTTGGGCGCTCGTTAGTGCATAGACAATCGTCAGCTGCATCGAGTCAGCCCTGAAAGCCGTTGATTGTCACCTCGAAAGGGAAATTTCCGCGCGCTGCTCATCCTCGCGCTTGATTTTATCTCGAAATAATCCACGCGGCATTGATTTACACACCCTCGAAAATCGTGAAAAACGATCGCGCGTGGTAGATTTTCCCGCAAAAGAAAGAGTCAAACATCATCATCATCATCATCATCATCATTGGCATCGGTATCCGAAATCGCGTCGAGATTCAGAAGTGAGATAGGCCGTTGTTGTTGGCGCTTAGCCGCGCTTTCGAGCGCTGTATATATACGTATAAGGTGCCGAGAGGCTGATCTTACAGCTGTTGGGTATTATATGTATAAATACAGACACTCCGCGCGAGATCGACAGTACGCGATAAGGATGTTTGCCGCGGCTGAAAATCTGGATAAGCGCTTAATTGTGTTTAATTTATTTGCGCGCCTACGCGCATACACGTATATTTTCACTTATATTTATATTAACGCGCCGCGCCGACTCGAATTGGTATATGTAATCGAGGACGAAAATGACCCGCGTTTTATATGGATAAAATATGATATAAAGACTGTAATGTTTGCCGAAGCGATTGACCCGCGGGTATTTCGCCTCGAGGCGCAAAAAAGCTGATTATATTTTCGTGTATAAGTACATAACTTTTCCATTGCTGCTGCTACATGACATGCATGCATGCATAGACAGAAATCATACATAAATATCTCTTGTGTGCTCGCAGCTTTCGACGCGCGGCGCACTCGCACGTAAATATAATAATAGCACTTCGCGCATATCGCGTACACACATGCTTTCGCGGAGGAATCGCGAGAGTTGCCGCCGCCGTTCGATATATTTATTTATGACGTGTGTGCGTCAGCGGCAGCAGCAGCAGCAGCAGTAGTCCTTTTATAGGAGAAACACAAAAGTGCACGTAGACGAGTGTACATTAGATACGTGTGTGTGTATTTAGTTAATCACGCTGCAGCGTGAAATTGAAATCTCTATAATATAAATGTAAGACATGCACCAGGAGTCGGCAGTCCATTAAAATAGTTCATTCGGTGGCGGCGGCGGGGAGGGCTTTCTAAAACATTATAATGTATAACGCATTAAGAGAAAGAATAAAGGAGAGATATCGGCGCTTTGTGCATAGCTGTGCGCTCGCTCGCGCGTTGGTACCTACATGTATGGTGTGTAGGCAAACGAAACCAAGCACACACACACACACAATTTGCCATTAAGATCGAATCCGTAGATTGTTCCACGAGGCTCGTTGTTATTCTTTCCTTCGTTATATATATATTGAATCTAATTCCCCACCCGTGCCCGTCTGCATGAGCGTATAAAGCGTGTAAACATGGTGTACCATATAGTACAACGTGTAATTGTCTCCTCTTATAAATTCGAGCCCGAAAGCTCAAAGTCAAACAATGTAATACTCGCCTCGCTGTGACTTCCACACACACACACACACGCGCCAAGCACAAGTCCGCGATGCGCTGTATATAGTGTCAATGTATATTCTGTAAAACGTTGCATAGCATGTATAGACACAAAAGCCAAACTGCAGCCTTCGTATAGGTTCACAGCTGATATCGGGGCGGTTGAGAGAAAGTTCGCCTCGAGAGAGAGACGATATTGCTGTTGCAGCTCGGTCATTATACATAGAGAGAGACTTGGCTCATAGACACATTCGTGCATCACACAAAGCATCGCCGAGCTACTCTCTCGGCTCGGGCTCAGCTGCTGCTGCCTCGGAGATGCCTGAAAGAAGGATAGAAAGAGCTGCATCTCTACGTGTGATCGCGACCGCCGCGAGGAAGAGAGAGAAAAGTCGTGCCGACGTGTTGTGTATACGTATACCTAGAGGGATGTCCGATACATGGTATATACGGGATTATTACTCGACGACGGTATAAATACGTGCTTGCAGAGAAAGAGCTAGAAATTCTTCTTCGATCTTTTACCAACACGTATAGCTTTTCAGCTCAAAGTCCGATGTATGTACATGCGCTCGACAGCGACAATAATTGGCTGAATCAAATGTATAACGTTCGATTCGATGAACTTTTGTTATTAAATATCTATTTACTGGTACACGAGCGAGAGTTGCAGGCGCCGTAAAACTCTATGTGTGCGAATTATTACATATATAAATAGGAACAGAGCTCGAAAGAAAGTAAATATATAATAATATTTATTATATGCCTGTGTGCGACGACGACGAGAGTCGAGACAATAAAAGCTGTATCAGTCGAGGCGTGTTTATTATTAAATTACAAGTGCGACCGAAAGAAAGTCTCGATCGCCCGCTTGCGATTTTGCACGCGATTCTGCAGTACGAGAGATTCGTGAAAGAAATTTTCAATCGTAATGTACGAACGAAAAAAGTCAATATAGGTGTGCACGCCCCGGGACTATGAAAAAGAAGTGCACACGATTCACGTGCGAAATAAGAGCTTGCACTTGATCTTTACGCAGAGCTCTATATCACGCGTAATTCGTGGGAAAGCATAGCGCTGCTTACTGCACAATTCGATGGGTGTATATCATTTTCTAAAGCCGAGAAAGGCAGAAAGAAACAAATAAAAATATCGATTTTGATGAATCGATATTTTTATTTATTAAAATGGCATGAAAAGATTGCAAAACTCTCAATAACACTAGACGTTGAAAATGTAAGAGAGCGAGTAGTCAAATAATTGCGGCAAGAGCGAGAGAACAGACTTTTGCATCTAGACGCACCTGAATTAAAAAACATATCGCATATCGTTTTTCACGGGTTAAATCATGCTTACCCAATAGTAATATAGAGTATCTACATTACAAAAAAATGTGATGAAATTTCATTAGAAACAAACAAACAAAAAAAAGGAGGATCGTTCAAAAAAAAGCTCGTTCGACCAAGATCCGAGTCCTGCAGCCAAATAGGTGCAGTAGCTCGGGATTATTTAGCCGAGAGAATACATTGGCATGCCTAAGACACTCGGGAGTACAATAGACCTTGAAGGCCAAGCGCGCGAACAAGTGCATAAAGAGATGAGAAATCATACCACGTACGAGAGGCTGCTGCTGCTGCTGCAATCTCGAGGAGCTTTGTCTCCGAGTACTGGAGGGCCGTGTGTGCGAAGTCTTTCGAATACGGTATATTCGACGAAACTTTCCCATCGATTGTTAGAATCTCTATACTGATAGTATAATACATATAGGCATGGCCAAGAGATAGAGAAAGAAAAGCAGTCGCGCCTTTCGCAATTTCACGTAAAACAATGCAAATGAAACTCGTTTATACATATTACGCGCAGTATAAACTTTGTCTCTGTATAATCGCTTTAATTTTTATATTCATCTTGTTTTTCTTTTCTGCCTTTCTTCGTAGGACGACGAGGGCGTCGAGGTCGAGGCCGGCTGGTCGGGCCTGCTGGCGAGCTGCGGCCTGCTCGTGGCCTCCTGCGCCGAGCTCTTCCTGTCGGGCTACACGAGCCTGACCCTGGCCCCCAAGCTCTGCAGCTGCCTCAGACCCGCCTCCGACGACTGCCAAGACGATCTGGAGGCCTGCGTGGTGGCCGTGGACGGCCAAGGCAAGAACCTGAAGACCCGCAACATGGTGCACCAGTGGGTGATCGCCCAGTCGCCGAGCAAGAATCAGCCGTTCTACGTGGTGCAGCCCGTGCCGATGCCCATGCATCCGATGATCCAGGTAACGAGCTTCTCTTATTATTATTGTTATTATTTTTTTTTTTTTTTCAACAAAATCATTGTTATTCTCTGAAATACGATTTCGTAGAACGGACAGTGCTTTACCGGGAATTTCGCGGAATTTTTTTGCGGTTTCGTATAACAGGCGCGCGAAGTACTTTCGTTTTTCTTTCTGTTTGTATCACGGAGTGCAGTCGCGGTGTAACCGATTTATATTGAGTAAACGATCGACGTTCAGCGTACGCGCGTGCATTGTGTGCGTGTGTACACGTAGCAGCCGCGCGCATCGATTAATCGAGAGAGCTGCTCGCGTGGATTCTTCGGATAACGCACGCACATGAATATATAAAGGAAGAATGGCATAAGATACGAATCGGAGAAAAGCCGAATATTGACAGAGAAACGCCAAGCCGGCTTGGCGATCACGAAAAAAAAAACCCGTATATTTCTCGAGATCGCAATCGCGTGCGTACGCGCGGTATAGGCATATACACCTGCGCTCGGTGTACGATATTGGTAATATCCATCATTCGCGTGCCAATACACACACGCGTAGCACTTTCCTTCCGTATACGTCGCGTATTTATATGAATGTAATTCAAGCCGAGTTTTGGAATCTCGTAAAATCAATTTATAATGTATAAAATACCTACATAGCATTCGGATCGATAAGCTGTGTGCGCGCGCGCGCGTAAAACTGCGTAAAACACTTTCATCTCGTTTATAATTGTATTATTAACCCGAGTGGTCCGGGCGATTTATCTCGCTCGCTCTTTTTCCGTGGCCCGCGAAACGCGCGATCTTTATAATTTACATACGTACATTTATGTGGAAGCCTACTTCGATTAGGCCGGCTCGATCTAGTCGATTTGACAATTTGACCCAGTTTATAGAGATTCGGCGGAAAAAGCGAGGCTAATAAATATTTACATTGGCGCGTACATACAGGTGTTATCTTTCGAGTGCTTCCATATATATTTGCTCGTTTAATACTTTTTTTTTCTCGCTAAAGTTTTCACTGGATCGCGAAAATTTCACTCGTCCGCGCGATACACATCATCTCGCGCGCTATCCATCAACTCTATATAAAATCGTTATTAATCTCACGATCGGCTTTCTGCGCGCGTCATCGTCGCGCACACGTATATAAAGGTCCGCACTACAGGCGCGCGTCGCCCTCGCACGTCGCGTCTGCACGTGCAGCACACGCACATTTCTCCGCGAGCGGCGGCGATCGTTTTTCTTTTCCCACACTCGCGTTAATAAATCCCGTAATATCTACCACTTTCTACTGCATTCACGGTGCCTTTTTATATATGTATCTCTATATACGTACTGGACGCTCGCTATACGGAGCTTCTCGCGTCTGCGCGTAGTTGCGCTGTATACAGTGGCTTATCTGCGCGCTCGTGCATCATGTATCATATACGAATTGCTTCTATGATCGAACGCGGGTTCGGTGCTAAAGAGCTTAGACGTGGAGTATCGTATATATTTAGTATCGAAAAATATAACGCGTCAATTTTTCCTCTTTGCCTTTCAGCACTCTCGCGCGCGCGCGCGTGTCTGTAACTCTCTAAATTCGCGGATTTTATGACTCGCTCACGCGAGCACTTTATAGTAGTAACGACGCATCGAGTGAAAACTCAATGCGACCAGTTCCGTCGTCGGTTCTGTTGCTCTTCTTGTCGTTGTTGTTGTTGTTTTTTTCTCTCTCTCTTTCGACACCCGATTCGCGACGCATACAACGTACGATAGATATAATTAGCAGCTCGTGGAATGTGCGATTGTGCGACGGCATTACGCGACGCGTGGAGCAGCGAAATAGCGAATCGTTAATTGCTTTACGCTCCGTGCCAAATGCCGCGAACGAATGACTTTGCGCAACGAGAGAACGGAGCAGCTCGTGTGCCCGCTTCGATCCCTTTGCGCTTCTTCTCTCTTATATATCTCGAGCTTCTCAATCCTCGTGGTCGTCGATCTTGGCCGTTTTATATATATTGGTACCCACTTATAACGCGACTCGTAATAAGAATTACGTATACCGATCTGTGGCAGAGAGGAGTAATGCTGTACGTAGTCGCGGCTGTCATTATATCCGCGCAGATGTACGTGCGGATTTTTTGCAGTCAGAAGCGCATGTAAACGTGCCGCGAGCGGACCGGCAAAGATGATCGGTGTATACATGACTCCGGTGTATCGATTCGCTTTGCATCCGTTACGAGCCTTTTTTCGCGCAGAGCAGACAGAGAGAGAGAGAGAGAACAGCTGTTGATAAAAACGTGGGTGCAGATCTAAAGGGATATTTTGTCTCGTGCGCCATTTCGGCGCCGGCGCGAAGATGACGACGACGCCACAAAGAAAAGCTAGCATACAGTTTAAGAACTCAACTTTCAATTGAACGCTGATTTAATTTAAAAATCAAACATTAAAATTATTAATTTCAAATTGTCTATGTCGTTCAGTTTCATTCAAAAACTTAATTATCTACTTAAATTTAATTTTAATAATGTATGAAATTTCGATTAATTATTACCAGCCTCTACCACTAGATGGCGAGTATCTTTATTTTTAAATCTGCAAGTAGCCAAGTCAAAAGAATTGTATAAGTCAAAGCACAGTTCAAGTTCAAGTCAATAAATTCAGTCTAAAAGTCCAAATTGGCTATTCTTTTTATGGTTATTCAAGAAATTATTTTCTTTTATCAATTAATCGATCTTTCTAAAAAAACTTCCTTCACTTTTACATTAATTTTAACGTAAACATTTTTAACCGTGTCTTTTGTAATAAATAAAAATATGCAACGCTCGAATAATATTGTTGTCATATGAGCTCACAAGAAGAAGAAGCAGAAGGAGAAGAAGATTCGTTTTATAGATAATTGTAAGTACCGCGCGAGAAACGAGAGTCGGAGCCGAGCTTTATATTACAGCTTCGTGTAGTTCATCTATTTTGCACTCGCACTTGGAGTAATAATCATTTGTGTCTCTCGCGCATCCCGATTCTTCGCGATACGACTTCACTAATACGACGCGTTGCGATTGTTTTAATTAAACGAGTTAATCGGTGTCGCTCTCTCGACGCCTCCTTTGGGCGATTCATGCGAGCCATTGATATAAAAATATCATTTATACTTTTACGAGGGAGAGAAAAAAAATTCCGCGGTGACACGTTCTCTTGACCTCTGCACACATTTTGTATACTTATGGCCGAGTCGCGAGGATGACACACTAAAAGCTCATAGCTCGCGAGTCTCGATGGTCGCGTAGCTAAATTGCCGATGCGCGCACATACACACACACACACACACACACACACACACATACGCGTATATTATAGAAAGTTCAGAAGCACGCGTATTGCACAGAGTACTACGGCGCGACTCCATCTGGCAACGACGACGACGACGACAACGACGCGGTCAATTCCCGTTGTAGCCTGGCCCCGCGTGCGTATATGTATTAGCATTTTAGAAATTGATCGATAGCATTGTATTATATATACTGTTCTCGTGTGGCGTCCGCTGTGTGACTTTGACTCATTCGCGCTAATTTTTCGATGTCTCCGAACCAGAGATAGAGAGAGAAAGAGAGGAGATACATGGAGAAACCCGCGCGCCGTCGTCGTCGTCGTCGTCAACTTAACGGAAATGCGAAACGTACTTTATATAGTGTCCCCTTGGCTGACTGAAACGAAGTACTAGTAGCGATGCGGTAGTAGTAGTAGTAGTAGTAGTAGTAGTTGTTGTACCGGTGATAAATATATGTACAAGTTGTATAACCGTTGCACACGATGTTGTACCGCGATGCTTCGCGTCGACACGCGTACGAACGCACACTGCACAAAACGTAATACAGTTCCGGATCGCGAGTCGTTCAATAAACGCGGCAGATCGGTACAACCGTACGCAATCCTCGTGCTCTCGCGACGACGACATCGACGCGACGATGGATGAATGTGTAGCAGCGAAGATCGAAGATGCATATACTTTTAGGCTACGGAATTCGTTGCGACCGTAATAAGATCGTGTAAAACGGTAGTTCGCTCGAAAGTTTTTTTTCATACCCATCGATATTGATATTAACGATTTTCTTATTTCCTTTTTTCCCTCCGAGTACCGATTTACGCAGAGTTAAAAAAAAAGAAAAGAAAAAGGAAAGAAATGAATACAAAAACGAAATGTGTTGCAATGATCGCGGTGAAGCGCATTGCCGCGCACACGTTATAATGTGTGCACGTGTGTGCGTGGTAAATCGATAATAGCCCCGAGGCGAGCGAGTACCTACATTTCGAGGTATTTCGAGGACGGCCGCTCTCCTCCTCTGCCACTATAACGCTGTGTATCTGCTGCTGCTGCTGCTGCTGCTGCTGTACACCACAGTTGCAAGCGTTGCGCGCACTCACACACACACACACACACACGTGTGTAATCGTGAAGCATCGTCATCGTCGTCGTCCTCGCGGTCGAGACTTTCCTCTCACTCGTTTTCCAAAGCACTCCTTAACTCGACTCGGTGCGCGACGAGGCTCGCTTTTTTTTCCTCTCCACCTGTGCCTGTTTTCAAATGTAATGTTATTGTATTCCCGACGAATGGATTCGCGCTTGCCGCCTCAGTTTGACGGTTGATCGGTGTGTGCTGCGGCTGTTTGCACGGCTTTCTTGCAAGATGCATCAAAGCGCGCACGCATGAAAATTGGAAAAAAATCACGTACGCGCGCGAGTCATCGAAGATGGTTGCACGCGTGCTCGGGGTTTTTTCCACTACCTGACTCTGTTTCTCGGGTATTAATGTGCAACCCCGATATTCGTCAAATTGTCGTAACTCCAAACTCGTGTACGCATGTGTCGGGCGTATAATATTATATAAAACGCACGAATCCGATATGTACATAGCGATCATAGATTTTCGCAACGATATATATCATATGCTCGACGTGACTGTATAATGCGTTTGAAATTGCCATTCCAATCGTGCGTCGCATAAATACATTTATAAGTATAACGCGCGCGCATGAGATTGACAGATCGAGACCGGCAGAGGGATCGAGAGCGAAAGTGTTGGACTCGATGACGCGCGGAAAAAAGCACACAGGATACAAATCAATCATTTTCTCGTCGTTGACTATATAACATACGCAACGATTGTTTGAGATTTTAAAAGTATAGAATATTGTAGCACAAAAAGTAACGACGAACTGCCCAATAACAACAACAATAATAATAGAATTGCATTTGTTATTTGTCCACAGGCTCCGTACGGAATAGCAGCCGGCAAGTACCACGGGGGCTTCGTGGCGGCGGGCGCCTACGGTCATCTACCTGCTATGCTGCCGGCCTATCATCATCCGCCGGGCCCGCCGAGCTCGGTCGCCGGTCAGCATCGGCCACCCTCGCAAATCGTAAGTCACGATGTTCGCTGGCTCGCTCGTCGTCGAGCAGCGGCAGCTTAATTAAGCGCGCGCGCGGCTCTTTTTTGCTCGTCCGTGTATACAATATCGCACACAGAATGCCACCGCCGTCGTCGTGTGCGCACAGCGCGATAGTACATACAAAGAGCCGACATTTTTCATCATTTTCTCGTGAATACCGGAGAAATTTATATAGCGAGAGGTTCTCTCTCTCTTTTTGTATGAGGTATATTACATATATCGCGATCGTGTTTTACATGCGCTCGACTATAGGCGCACGGTGTAAAATCACGAGTGCGCGCACACACGCGAGCTTTTCCGCATTAGCTGCAGATTCCCACGGAAGTCGCGAGCGTCCGGAAGCTTGTGAACACGTGAAAATCGTGTATTTTACAATACATCTTCAATTCCTCGTTGATATATTTATCAATTTCAACAGGCCCGCAGCAAGTATCAAGCCGCGATGGTGGCCGGACAGAAGAAGCGTCGCCACTCGTCGGACCAGTCGGACGGCGAGCTGAGCAGCGGCGGCAGGCATCATCATCATCATCCACACGCTCATCCGTCTCATTATCGCCGAGGCACGCCGAGCAGCGCCAGCTCGCCCGACACCCCCAAGAATCATCATCATCAGCGATCGAGCTCCAAGTCCACGAGTCCCAGTAAAGAGTCACCGCCGCCGCAGCTCGACATGACCGACACCTACACGGGCCTGGACAAGCGCATAAGCGAGGAGTTCATCTCGATCGCCATGGACCCGGAGCGCAAGAGCAACCGAGCCTCGAGTCATCACGGCAGCGACATCGAGGCGGCTAGAAAAGCAGCGACTACCGCGGCTACCTCGTGAACGCGCCGATGAACCGCACGAAGACGAAGAAGAATAAGAAGAAGAAGACCGCGAGGAATTTTTGCTAAGAGCGACGACGACCCCACGATGCAAATGCCTCAGAGACGTGTGAAGCGAGATCGATCGGTATAAAGCGAGTGCATGCACTTGCCGATCTCTCTCTCTCTCTCTCTCTCTTTCTCTTATAGCTACGCTGCAACGCCACGAATATTTATGTATAAAAATACCGAACAGAGAACAATTACTTTTTACACACATATCTGGGTCGCTCGTTCGTGTTCACGCGCGCATAGCCAGTGATTATGATGAATTTTCAAACCTGCAGTGGCAACTGCATACGTCAATACCGAACGTGCGCCACAATTGCTTCCATGCAACTGCAGCCGCACGCTTCGCTGGGGACTATGCCGATGCGCGATTTATTATTATTATATACCTACTTTTGTATATAACAGCAGCGATAGCAGCAACAAAAAAACTCGCGTTGTTTTTTTTTTTTTTTTTTTTTTTATANGTTTTTTTTTTTTTTTATTTTATATTCTCTTGTACTAGACCGTGGACTTGTACTCGAATTGTGAATTCACGATACGCGTGGAATCGATATATACTATACATTTTATATATTGGAGCGACCGGCTTGATTTTTCACGCCATATAACACTGTTACATTGTCTTGCAAAAATTAAAAAAATGTCGAACGGACGATTTGCTTCACCTCGATTTTTTTGTCTCTAATTATAAGAGAGTGGTATTTTTGTTTTTAAATCTTTGATTGGGTACTTGATTCTTTAATTGCGATTATTACGTTTTATAAAATTTAAAATTAAACTATGTTATTTAATCACTGAAAATTATTAGATTTTAATTTACACGTTAAATTTTGTTTGAAATTTATGTCGAATATCAGTTACGTAGATAGATAGATAGATAAAACAATAAGGGGCTAGTCAAAGTAAATGTTTTTCTTTCTATTATAAGCAGTACCCACGACAGCTTATTGTTTGTTGTAAAGAAGTAATAATTAATAATCATATCGTTATTGAAAGAAAAATCAAAAGAAAACACTTGAAGTACTCTAAACTTTTGTTGAAATTTTTATAGTTTGTTATTTGAAATCTCCGAACTTAAGATTTTTTACTAACTAATTTTAATATCATATTTTAAACTAATTTCATAATAATTGTCTATAAAACTTTGATTTATGCATAATCAAAATCTTGATAAAAGTTTGTTAACAGTTTAACTTTGATCAACGAATATGATTGATTTATGATTTGTAATATAACCAAGCATTCATTATAATATTGCAAATAATACATATGATACTCTAATGGATTTACGAGAATAAATGAATTGTACAAGACGGTTTTAATTTAATAATAATTTGACAAGAAAATCCTGTAAATATAATATTTTTAATTTAAAAAATTCAATAAAAGTAATGCTGAAGTAAATGTCAACGTTTTCTTAAATATTAGCAATCTTATATGAATATTTATTGAGTTATGTTCAATAATTCAGGACTTATTGCAGATATTTGAATATATGCTCTTAATCGTGTGTGTGTGTATATATCTTTATGTGAACAATAACAACTTTGAAAAGTTCAAGTTCTAATGGAAAATTAGTTAAATGTTTAGTATAATTTAACTTAGTGATTAAAAAGTCCATTTTGTATTATACACTATTATAATGATAAATTTATAATAAAAAAATTGTAATAAATAAAAAAATTATTTGAAAATAATTTAATAATTGTCATCACTAAATATTTGTAAATTTCCATGCTCACAATTATCAAATAGCAGTAACTTTTCTTGTTGTATTTATTTGCATTAATGTATTTTGTATTTACTATTTAATATAAATATTCTATTTAGTGAGACAAAGATCCTGGTAAAAAGGCTTTTCAAATTTTTAGAAAATACTTTGCTATGTTTTTAACTAGTTCAGTTTTCAGCTATGAATAAGATATTACAAAAAACTAAATAAATTTCAATTCAAAAATGGCAAAAATCGATTTTTATCAAATTTTACCATTAACATTTCATTTTATTTAGAAATTTATACAATGAAAATCACTTCAAGTCCATTTAATGGATAAAAAAATTATTAAAGTTGATTATAAATCTCACAATGACACATTAGAACAACTCTAGTTTATAAAATGTCAAGAACACTTGATGCTTTAGAAAACATTACACAGTTCACATTTAATTAATAATATAATACTTAAAAGTAAATCAAACAATCTTATCGAATAAACAACAAATTGAAAAAGTCATGAAAAACTAAATCTATGTCAAGTAACGAGTAAGGTACATATTTTTTAATCGATATCCATGGATTCACAGTCCTCTTCATCCTTTAAAGAATATTAAGGTTATAATACAAGAAATAAAAAATCAATTTCAATTTGAGAATCTTACATTTTGCCTGACTTTTTTGGGTGATTCGCTCTCTTCATCAGATTCAAGAGTCTTCCTTTTAGCTAAACTCGATTTGTTATTCATGTCAGCATGTAAGCCATTGTTATTGTTTGTATATGAACTCTTTTTATCAATGAAAAATGTTATCTTTTTTTGCCAGGATGGTGTTTCTCTGGGACAATAACCATTTCTAGGAAGATTATCTTTACCCACTGGAAACAAATAACTCGATATAAGTACATAACGCTACTAATACATGAATAAGATCTCAAGTTCTTACACTTCTCAGGGGTGCTGGCATAGACACTTCTACTTGCCATCATCTTTTTGGGTGCCTTTCCTCCAGCAGCAACTGTAAATAAAAATTAATAAGCTTCGATGTAATAGACACATCAATAAGTAATCTATGTACATGCCCAATTGTATACAAGACTCTATACGTATTGAATAAAAAAAAGTTATATTCCAAGAGCTCAAAGCTCAAACTTTGTGGCAGAATGTAATTTTAGCACATGGCACTATACACCGTAAATAACAAAAATAATGAGTATGATGATGACACTTTTGCAAGTAGCTAATGAAAGCATAGAAGCACTCGATATAGGTTACTGAAATGAGTTGGCGTGAGTATGTGTCAATGTTTACCTCGACAAGCACCATCGGCTTTTGTACGAACCATGCTCGTTATCTATCTATACGAAATAGTATCTTAGCGATGTGACTTATCTATCGCAATGAGCGTGCGAAGGCGTTAAAATGAGCTTGGCTGAGTTTAGCTGAAAAAATGCCGTTGAGTTGTGCTTATGCGGCAACTGCCATACGTATATAGGTATAGGTACGATGAGGAAGGGCGAACTGTACGAAGTACCGACCTTTGCAGAACTGAAATTCGCGAGTCTCGGGGCTTATTTTGGCGCGTAGCAAAATAGAACTATTCTTATAAATTGGCGCGAGGTTGTAAGTTCTGTCGTGAAGTGGCGCCAAAATTTTCTTACAGGACTTACAAGCCCTTATACAGGTGAGCTGTCAGGTGTCAGTATTGTCGTATCCTCTCGCTTAAACACGTATTGTTTTTTTCCGGTTTTAGAATTCTAAACCTGGTACTAAAGGTCTAAATGAAGCTTACAAGCAATTCCCTGACATCATTATAAATTATCTAATAAAATAAGAGTTTAGAGTAAGATAAATCTGCCATTGACTTGATTTAATAAAACTGAATTATCTTTCCTTAAAACAAAAAAAAATTGAGAACAAATCTTAGCATCCCCACGACTCGAAATAACGTGCCCTGCTATTGGTGACAAGCAATAATCCTTTTAGTCATGTTATACTTTGCTTTTATACAATAAAAAATTGCACAATGAATGTCCCGAGAAATTTATTTATATCTCTTTGCGAAGTTTCGTGTTTCGTGGCTTAATATTTTAAGGATTTACAACCTTATACATTTTTCAAACTTCATTTTTTAAGACACCGAACCGACAAAAAAAGTAAGGCACTTTTGAATTGAAACGGGCAAGTAGTAATATGAGCTTGTTGATTCTATCAACAGATGGAGTATTGTAAATCTGCAAGTGGCAAAATAATTCCCGATTAGTATAAATAATGTACATCAAGCCTGATCCAAACGCGATTCTGTTTCCATTATGTCCAAATTCACGTGCTCGATATTTCAAATTTACTTTCATCGTGCCTAATGCTAAAGTTATAAGTTTTAATAATCCAATTCTAAATCATAAAATCGTTGATGATTTCAAAAATCGTCACCCACGCTCTCACGAGCCAAGAAAAACTATCTCAAGAGCAAGATGATCTCATCTGCACACGTCAAAATTATCTCGTACCGCGTGCCTCCCGCGCGTGTTGTTTTTATTTCGATGCTATCCACTCGCGGTGTGTCGCGAAGTAAAAGGTCATCGACGCATAAAGCTTATACCACAAATACTTATAATTTTATTCGATAAGGCTTGTGGGGAGTCGAGTGATGCGAATTTTCGACGTTGGTTGCGCGATCGCACATATGTGACGCGTCTTCTGTGAAAGCACTCGAGTCTGCATGTTTATCTGAAAAACAAGAACTCCTTATCAGCCCGGCTAGTGTATTTTTTATGTAACTTACATCGATTCTGTGATCGACGAACGAGTGCAACGCAACGAAAATGAATAATTTTAATAGGGTATGTGAAATGTTTATTGGTTAATCTAGCAATTACTACCGGCTTCATTTCATAATTAATAGTAATATTGCAAAGAATTTTATTCCAAAAAACCAAATGTTGCTTTGCAGGTTGTTTCTCTGCAAAAGAGATTTTACAGCTCCAAATTCAAGCTGAATGATGTTGTCATCGTCAGTGCAGCAAGAACCCCTATGGGGTCATTTTTAGGATCTCTATCTTCAATTTCAGCAACTAAACTTGGTGCAGTAGCTATACAAGTAAGACATTCTGCCTATTTACAAAATTAGATTTTATAAAAATTACCACTTTACTTTTGGATTTAAATTAATAAACTTTTCACACAGGCTGCTATCGAAAGAGCTGGAATCGCTAAAGAACAAGTTAAAGAAGTGTATATGGGTAATGTTTGTCAAGGAAGTTTGGGACAAGCGCCAGCTCGACAGGCCACATTGTTTGCTGGTTTGTATGATTTCAATTATTTTCTTTATTTCGTTTTAATATCTGAAATTGATATTTTAAATTAATATTTTTCAGGGTTGCCCAAATCAACTATTTGCACAACAGTAAACAAAGTCTGTGCAAGTGGAATGAAAAGTGTAATGCTGGGTGCTCAAGCTTTACAGTGCGGTCATCAAGATGTTGTTCTTGCTGGTGGAATGGAATCTATGTCTAATGTACCATTTTATTTGAAACGAGGACAAACAACATATGGTGGTATGAAATTGGAGGTGAGACATAGTAACATTATTGTTTTGTTTTTCAAAAAAATTTAAATGTACTTATAATATACTTACAATAAACTAATCTTTTTAAGGATGGAATTGTTTTTGATGGTTTGACAGATGTTTATAATAAATGTCACATGGGTAACTGTGCTGAAAATACAGCCAAGAAATTGGGAATTTCCAGACAACAACAAGATGAATATGCCATTAGTAGTTATAAAAGAAGTGCAGCAGCATATGAAAACAATGTTTTCAAAGATGAGCTAGTACCTGTCAATGTCCCACAGAAAAAAGGCAAACCAGATCTAATTTTTACAGCTGATGAAGAATATAAAAAGGTCAACTTTGAAAAGTTTGATAAACTTGCCACTGTTTTTCAGGTATGTTCAATTACAAGAATCACACATAGAAAAGAAAAATTAAACTATTTTAAACTAAAATTGTTATAAAAATTATAGAAAGAATATGGAACTGTAACAGCTGGTAATGCTTCAACTCTTAATGATGGAGCAGCAGCTTTAATTTTAACTACTGCAGAAAATGCACAAAAAATGAATCTCACACCGTTGGCAAGGATAGTTGGATTCCAAGATGCAGCAACTGACCCTATTGATTTTCCTATTGCTCCTGCTTTAGCGATTCCTACTGTAGGCATTTGTTTTATTTGAAATATAATATCAACAGTAAAATCTTGAAGTAATATTGATAAATTTCAGCTTTTAGAAAAGTCAGGTGTCAATAAAAATGATATTGCTATGTGGGAGGTGAATGAAGCTTTCAGTGTTGTTGCTGTTGCCAATCAAAAATTATTGGACATAGATCCTGCCAAAGTAAACATGCATGGTGGAGCTGTATCACTAGGTCATCCTATTGGGTAAGTCTGACTTGAAATAAATTAATTTTATAATATCCATTTTATAATATATTTTCATCCAATAACCTGATTTTTATTTATACAATTAAAAACTTTCAGAATGTCTGGAGCTAGAATTGTTGTCCACTTGGTACATGCTTTGAAAAAGGGAGAAAAAGGAGTCGCTTCTATCTGTAATGGTGGTGGTGGTGCATCATCAATTTTGATTGAAAAATTGTAAGTTTTTTTTTTTTTTTTTTGTCTAATATTATGTGATATCATAGGCAAAGCCAAGGGCTTTAATTGGTCTTCAAGAAGTGATAAAATCCTGTATTTATATTTGATACTCTATTTTTTATCTGTGCTGTTTTTGATAATATAGAATATTTTTATAAATGAATGTTGTAAAAAATAAAATATTTAAATATCAAAGAAATGTAGCATTGAAATTAAAATATTTACTATCTACCTGCAACCTTGATTACCATAGGTCACATTCGCATTCAACTCCACCAAAATTGACACTTTATACTAAAGATGTATGCCCACTATGTGATGTTATGAAAGAAGAGCTGAAAACAAAATTTGATGGTTGCTATCAATTAGAAACAGTTGATATAAAAGCTTCTGGAAATGAGCATCTATTTAATTTATACAAGTATGAAATACCAGTATTATTCTTGGAAGGCAGATACTTGTGTAAGCATAGATTGGACGCAGAATTATTAAGTAGGAGATTAGTAGAGTATAAATGAGTTAATAAATATGTTTTTTAAATAATAATAAAAGAAAAGTCCATGTATGGTAATAAAAATAAAAATCCATATTTTAATCATTTTAAATAACCTATGTGTATTTAGAAGAAGTCTTTTACAATGAAATATGTTTATTTTGTTGAATTTTTAGTAAGTGATAGATTAGCAACTTTTTCCAAGTGATACTTCTCCGTTTTTTTAGCCTCTTCTGAAGCTAACATATACTTCACAAGGTAATCGTTGCTTTTTAATATACTTTGTTGGGTTTTACCAATGGAATTGATTGTGTCTGATAATTTATCTGTAAATAAAAAATAACAAAAATTATTGTATAAACTAGCAACGTTAAAACCAATTTTTTAATAAAAAAATCTTCATTAGAAAAATGAACATTGTCGATAAATAATTTAAAAGAAAACTAATTTAGTACATTCATTATTCGAAGAGGCAGAACAGATATTAACCTAATTTTTCTGCGAAAAATTCCTTACCAAGGGTCTTGAAGAGATCTCCATGCAAAGTATCTGCTTCAGCTCTGATTCTCTTGTGCGATTGGTGCATTATTGTTTAATATTCTATTGAAACCACCACGAGTTGATTGCGATCGAATTTTTGATTATCGACGTTCGATTTCGTTCGAAAATTTTTAAATTTCGCCGTTGTTGTGTCCGCAGTTATAGCAGCATTGACTGACAACGATGTAAGCTCAGGCAACACGAGCTAGTTTTAGGGGGAGAGTCAGGTGCAAAGCTGAAGGAATTTGATCGAATCTGTAAAAACCCATAAGGGTAATTCATTGTTTGTGCTTTCCATAATGATAGCATGGCAAAGCTACGAAGAAATCAGGTAAATATGATCGATATTTTCGTACCCGTGTATAAAATAATATAACTCTTTTGGAGAACGGAGTTAGTGAATTTTCGAATTCCCAAATCGACACAATGTCATTTGAATGAATCAATCAATACACACAGTGATTTCAAGTAGTTGAACAACATGAAAAGCCATATTCTACGGAAAATTAGGAATCGAAAACCTTTTTGGAGCTTTTCTCAAACACCAATGGTTTTCGAAAAAATCGACGTAATAATAAGTCATTCTTTTTATGAATCAAAAGTCCTGTCCGAGTCCTCGAAATTGTTTGTCATGATAATAACAAAGCACAGCAAAAATACAGCAAAAAACTTGCTAAAAATGTGGATTAATGTAAAAGCTCGAGATCTCATCGCCAGTGATGATGTGGAGATGTTGTTTGGCCTCGGCGATAATCAAGCCGCATAGTGACTCGCTCGGCCGGCTCGACGATGCCGAAAATTATCTAAAAGGAAAAAAAACGAGCTAATTACTTTCACAGCGCAACGCATTCGCAAAGATGATCATTTACGACGAATTGCCGTTGGAAAAAGAAAGTTTTTTTTTCTAATTCGATCGAATAAAAATTCAGCTCCAAACAATGCGTATGGACTTTTGGACAATTTTTAAGTTTATCGAAGAGACAATGCCCCATAAGAGCCCGTGTTAATCTCCAATAGCTCGGAGTATCCCGACGGGTGTCGGTGGTATTACCGGGGGGCATTGGGGTAGAATAAGGCCACGTAAGTTTCTAACTTCTTTTTTTTTCAGATCTTGGTCGAGCGCCTATGCTGATCGAGCCTCAATTCGCTAGGAGAATGATTTTGGTTCTGATGTCGCTGTCGCTTTAAGAAAAGACTCGTTTCCATGAACGTGCGAGACGTCTGTGAACGCTATTGTTTAATTTTTTTTTTCAGTGTGAATTTCTTCAATTGTCATCGAGATTAAATTCTGTGGTGGAAAGGCATAACGACTTAAGTCCATTTTTCGTAATTTCGAGAAAAACGCGTTTTAAGTTGATTGGGCCAGCCTAACTAAACGCGGACGAGTCGAGATCTGAACCTATGGTGTTTTAAGCTACTATGAGGTAGCTTTTCAACTATGTACTTATGAAATTGAAAGGCGCATCATAGCGATGATAGGGAGCAAAAAATATGGACTTAAGTTGTTTTGCCTTTCCACGGTTTGCACTTAAGTCCACTTTTGTCGGTCACACTTTTTTCAATATCGATAATTTCGCGCAGTTTGTCCTCATAACCTCATTTAACGAATTCACATTGATAAAATTGCTCATTTAACGTTATACTGGTGTCAGATCTCAAATCTTGCAACGAAAAAAGGCCAAACTGAAAATCGCGAAAATGGCCCCTCGCGTATCAAATGTACCAATCGTATAGTGAAATTCACAACATTCGAAGAGTGTGAGAGTTATTTGTATGTACGAGTATGATTTTCTTTCATTTTCAAATCAAAGTAGACTCTCTATAGCATTTTGAAGCTCGCAAAGGTGGACTTAAGTCGTTTTGCCTTTCCTCGTTTCTCATGAAATGGACTTAAGTCGTTATGCACGATGCTGAAACTAACGATAGAAGCTATATTCATCTATTCTGACCCTTGTACATCAAAGTAGGCACTACATATAGTTGTTTTTCACCATAATATCGATTTCCATAAAAATGGACTTAAGTCGTTGTTATGCCTTTCCACCACAGAAATGAAACGTATTTATTAGTCTCGTTGATGAATTTTTGTTCGACGTTCCCTCCGTAGGTATAAATCTCTTTTATTTTTGGATCTTGGTAAAGCGCTGATGCTGAGAGAGCCTCAACTCGCAAGGAGAACGATTTTGGTTCTGATGCCGCCGTCGCTTCAAGTAAAGTTTCGTTTCCATGAACGAGCGAGTCGTTTTCGATTGCGATTGTTTAATATATTTTTTCAGTGTGAATTTCTTCAATTGTCATCGAGATAAAATGAAACGCGTTGATTGGTGATTTTAGGAACCATCGAAGACAGGATTTTCGAAGTGGTATTCATCGATTTTCAGGAAGATCGATCAAGACAGAAGAAAAAAGTTTACTTTTATAAGTGAACCTGAGAATATTTAGATTGTACGTGTTGTATCTTTGGGAACCTTCGAAGACAGGAAAATCAGAAGAGGCATTTATCGGTTTGCAGAAGGATGGCTCAAGCCAGAAGAAAAAAGCTTATTTTTATCAGTGAACCTGAGAATTTTTCGATCGTGTATCTAGCTGCTGCATCTTCCATGACCATCGATGACAAGGATTGCGCTGAGTGATATCTAATAAAGATTTTTAAAATTTAATCATGATTTTTTTGTAAAAAATAATTTTTTATGGTTGTAATAAAGAAAAAAAAAAAGTTCGATGTTAGCCAAAAGGCCGAGAAAACAAAAACTTATACAGACATTTGTTGGTAATTCAATGAAGTTTCCAAATATGTAAACCAAATGGTCCTACGACATCTGGTTCCAAATCTCGATTTCAAGCCTATCACAGAACTTCCTCTATTAGGAAGCAATTATTTCTAATAATCACAATACAGTGGTTGTTAAATCGTCTCACGAATCGAGAGCTCGTAGCCAGAGGTGATCTGAGGAATTCTTCTTGACCTGGCGATGATTTAGTTATTGAGCCACCCGATCGATCGACTTGACGACAAGTTAAAATCTCAAAAATCAATAAAAATTTGAAAGTGTGTAGCGATCTTTACATAGGCGTAATACATGCAGTAAAACTTCGATAATTTGAAATAAAAGTTTGCCATTAGAGTCATCAAATCACATAAATCTATCTCGATAGCTGTCTAGCTATATATTCCCAAACCCGCAAGTAGCTGGAAAAGTGCTCTATCGGAATATATATAAGATTTTCTATGATTACTTGTTGGCTCTATTTGAAATACACCGCTGGTTGGATGCTGCCAAAAAAAGCTGGCTTAAAAAAAACTATGATCTAATGCGCGTGATATAGACGCAGAGATCTAAATACTAGGCAGACATCTACACACTATTCAGCGCCTGTACTCAGAGTAGAGCCAATTTATGCTATATTTTTGACCAATATATAAGAGATATAAGTCCAATCTTCTCTTGATTAATAACAATAATATAATTTTCCGTAGAACATGGTTTTTCATTTTGTTCGACTACTTTCATAAAAAAAAATTTGGTTTTCTAAAAACTAATTCGCACTGACGTTGTTTTTATAATTAAATTATTGCAATAAAATCCTCAGAAGTTTTATAATCGAAAAAGCGTTACTCGATTCGAATCGTTCGTTTGAAATTACAGGGGTGCTATACGTTAACGATCCCGCCCTCTAGTATCGTAGTAACGGTTCACGACTTCGATTGACAAAAAAGCTTGTACATTGAAAAAAGGACCAACCTGCTATATTGCAGAGTCGCCAATAAAGCACACTCGTGATATTTATTCAGATACGATCATCGGGGAAAAAAATTTGCTCGTGGGCAGTTTGACGACGACGGTGCCTATATATATTCTATTATAGACTCGCTATATATGAGACTTGCAACTATTAGCTTGGTGGTGACGCCGTCGCAAGAACGCACGCGATATACATACCCACCTATAATGTAAAGATAGAAGGACTGCTTACATGCACTATATGTATCGCTTTTTCCTTCGTACACATATACTCTCTCGCGAGAAAGAGTATACAAGAGAACTGCGGCAGGCCAACTTCGCATGTGCGTCGTGTGATATATATATATACGCAACACTGACGTACGCTCGGCGAGTACGAATTATACACTCCAGTACGAGTACGAACGTGGTCTGCAGCGAGTGTGTCTGTGTATATGCGTGTGCGCCTGTGCCTTGCTTGATACGTGCACGTATATGCTACAGCAGTCGGCTCGTCAGTGCTTGTCCAAGAGCCGATGCAGTCGGGCAGTCCTACACAATAAGAACGATACATAACGAATTATTAGAAATATATATATAACACGGCAAACAATCGCAAGAGCGTATACGGTAAATTAACTTGGATTAACTATTACCCCCTCTTTCGTGAGTTATTTTTTCGATACATTGAAACACGCGCTCGCGCGACGCCGGATGCCAGACGTCGGACGTTTGCACGTGCGACATTTACACAGTTTTTACATATTATATTCATAGTGCAACGAAAAAGTATAAATAGTTCTAGGCGTCTAGTTCGCGATTTATCCATAAAATGCACGCTACGGCTACGACGAACTAGTTTAGTGATGAATCTATTTAAGTGAGCTGTGTGTATATAGAGAATTCGGCGCGAAAACCGATCGCGCGATCGATTCAATTTATTGCAACGTCGATATAGCAATTAGCGAGCATCGAGTTTGTGCATAGGTTTGCGGACGACGGATATAGAGAAATGAAATTCCTGCGTTTGCGTACAATACGACACGCGAACGCAGCAGCGAGAGAGGAGCGACAATGACAATTCGATCGTAAAATATACGCCTGCTCCAAGTTCATCGATCCTACTGTACGTACGTCACAGCGGTATAGCGAACACATTTACATCGCGAGTATTCTCCTCTTTTTCTCGGTCCGTGTTCGCATGTGTATGTGTGCTCGCCCGCAGGTTGTTGCTTTTTTCCTGCTGCGCTACATCAAGTGTCCCTCATTGTTTATAACATCCGCGCGGTGGTGCATAATACACACAGACATCGTGCGCGCGCGCGCGGCCCAATTCATCGGTCGCTAGATCCCATTTATATACACAGTAGCTGGCCTATAACAGGTGGATTCGCAGCGCCGACTGTTATATAGGTATCACAGCGTACAGAGAGATAGGTATAAGAGTGCAATATCCGCGATATTGCAATGTGCCGCGCGCCGCCAGTAGGCAGTGTCCGCGTCCTGGTGGATCAGCTTATTGCAGCGGCGGCGCATTGTGCCTATATCGATAAAACACGCGCTGTTGCTGCTGTCTCGCACCACTACTACTATACCACTACCACTGCTGTGCATAAACCTGTTTGCTAATCTTCGCAGAGCTGCAGAAACATCCTTCTATTATACATGCCATTATAATACAGCGATCGACACCGCCAAAAGTCACGGTGTGTAAAACTATGTGTTCTATTCGCCGGTTTTTCTCGGCTTTCCTTCGATACGCGACGACGATCGTCATAAGTATATAGCGTTGGCGCAGCCCCAGCAGCAGCAGCCGCAGCAGCACGTTTCAGCATTACTTGTATAGCTATACATATATCGGATCCTACATGTATAGCAACAGTACTCGCGTGTGTATAGTCCACCACCATATAGTCAACACACACACACACACATACACGCGCGCAACAGCGCCAAAGTGAACGGCGGTGTATTAAACACGCCGCACGACCGGAGTATATATATACACTTACACACACACACACAGCAGCAGCAGCAGCAGCCAGCCAGCAGCAGCATATAGCCGCTCAAGCAGCAGCAACAGCAGCGGAGCTGGCGAGCACGGAGTCAGTCGGAGCAGCAACGCACTATACTACAAAGGCTCTCCTGCAGCCAACACAGCCAGAGCAGAAGCGGCTCTACGGAGCGAAGAAGAAATTTTTTTGTGCAATTTCAACTCTCCGCTGCGCGTGCATGTGTGTGTGTGTGTGTTTTTGTGTTTGTACATAATATAGTAATAAGTGCGTGTCCGTCGTCCGATCGCTGCTTCTTCCTTTGTTATCAGTGCGTTTGAATATCGTCGTCGTCGTCGTCGGGTCGAGTATCGAGTATAGCGTTTGCATCCCAATGCTCGGTCTGTACATAATATCGTCCGTGGGTTCGCAAATATCTCGTGTTTCAGTGTGTTCGTGAGCAGCGAGTGTGTATAGGTTCGACGAGTCGCAGCGCGTGTGCATATATTCCTTGCGTCAGTGTGTGTTACATTAATGCACACGAATCAGTGTCGTACAATATATTGCACATTATAATATATTAAAGGATCACTCGAAAAAAGAAAGAGAGAGAGAGACAAACACGCCAAGTGCGATATGCTCCAAGGATCGTTTCGCACCCCGGACTCATTGCTCGCTCCTCGCTATCGCTAAACTACAGGTTCGTCAACATCTTTATAACGATACTCGTATAAACATACGCCCACTGATTTTTTTCTAAAAAAAATAACAAAATTTTCCATCGACAAAGGATGAACAACCTCCCGCGAGGAACCCGTATATAATCCATTGATTCAGTTCGAGTGTTCGAGGCCGAGTGCATGCGTGCGTGCATCGCGCGCCTAACGTCTTACAACTTTTGTCTCGAAAAATAGCTCGAATTTAGAAGAAGACGACAAAGTCCGCTGCATTCGCGCGTTATAAAAGTAATGTAGGTGAAGCGCACAAGAGAGCGAGAGAGAGAGAGAGAGAGGCAAAGTGAGGCAGTGGCGAAAAGTGGCGAGCCACGCGGCTTGGCGCTATTTTTAGGGTCGAAAAACCGATCGTATTTATATATAATGCAGCGCGCGCACGCACAGACACACACCGGCACAAATGCATTTATAGAGCCGTGTATACGCATATCTTTAACCGGGAGTATAATCGTACGCTGCATAGGCATCGTCGTCGCGAGTCACGTGAACTCGATGCACACGCGTCTCGATGGAATTCGACGTCGACGCTCGATGTAAACACTCCCAATGTATGTCAAACCTATGCTGTGTTATGCTTTTGAAAATTCGATTGTTGTCGCACGCCTAGCTCGTGGTGGACTTAACTCGCTATAGCTAATGCGACGACGATGATGATACTCGCGTGCTATATAGCCCCCCATGTGTGCAAGCTCGCGCATGGTGTGCGTCGTCCTCCGTATTACAAACGCTCACGCGGAGAGACACGCGCACTGTATGGCCTCGAGTGGCGTTAATATCATCAATATTATTCGGTATACATTACCGTGTATGCGGGGGAAAAGGTAATAATGAATTTCGCGCGATCGAATCGATTCTCCCTCTTGGGCGAGCGTCGCAAAATCGATCGCGGACGCGTCGCTATATTACTTTCTCAAGGGAGCTCTCGCGTTTCGTCGCCACCTACGCCTATACGCGCAATGTGTATCGGATACAACATTATACCTCGGCGAAGTTCAACAATGCGTACGCGGCTCGATTCTCACGATTCGCCGATGCGGCTCGTCGTTTAGTAGTAAAAGATAGGAAAATAAAAGTATACGACGTCTTCGCGGGGGCAAGGGAAAGGGGGGAAAGAGCATAATGAATTTAGCGAGATAGGAAAATCTCTTTCACTCACGGTCGTCTTTTTTCTCGCGGTGCGCGGATTCTCTAATTGTACCTTAATATATAAAGCAGCTCGCTCGAACCGATTTTCCGCGCTGAAACGAGACGAAGCGTTATATATACAGTATAATACACGTTAGAGGTAGTAGCAGTATCGTGCGAAAGGATAACGATCGACCTTATGACCGACTATTCGTCCGCGAGACACCCGCGATATATACCAGGCTCTGTATTACAGCCTAGGCCACGTACATATGTGTGTGTGATAGTGTGAAATCAGCGCATCGAGCGCATCGAGGCGCGCAGGATATAACGTATAGCAATTGGCGGCGGTGGCGACCTATATGATAATAACCGCGCACACACGCTAAGATCATACGATTTATAGGTGAGAGAGAGAGAGAGAAAAAAAAAGAAAGCCCACCTACACCCATAGCATCGGAATAATTGCACTTGATAGACGTTTGATGCATGGGGTATGGAGTGATATTGGCTCCCGTGCGAACTAAATATTATCCGCAATTTGTTCGCAACTTATAGCGATCGAACGATTTTCGCTAATTCAACGATGACTTTGAGACAAAGTTTTATTCCATTCGGACACAGAAAGGCGAACAGCAGCAGACAACCTCGTCTTTACAGATACCATACTCCCCTTTTTCTCTCTCGCACTGTCTCTCGTTCTCTCTCGGCTCTTATAGACTCGAGCTACAAAAACTCGCTTTCAGCTCGACGACGCATCGAGTTTAAAAGTCCCGTCCGCATACGTGTGTGTGTGGCGTGTGCGCGTGTATACGTCTATAAGGATCGAGCCGCAAGGAGAGCGAGAGAGGGAGAGCTAAAGGCAAAGGGGGAGCTCACGCGAGGATTATATGCATGTGCGTTAACGCGTGTGTGTGTATGTGGCGTGGTGCAGTGCCGACTGCCGAAGGGCCGAGAAGTTGTGCACTGTTAGCTGGTCTGCGGATTTGTCACGTACACACACGCACACAAGTGCATCGCGTGTGGATGCACAGCTGTACTGCACGAGGGTGTACGCGACGGCGACGAGCCTTATACACAATATACTGCAAAGTATTTTACACATTCGGCTCGAGCGAGAGCCGCTCTCGGCACTCGACGGCGTACGCTGCCCGCGTCTGTATATACTTGCTTCGCGATCGACGACAGGTGGTGTAGCATAGGTAAACTTAAAGGTCGCACGCAGCCCTGCGTGTGTATAATATACGCGTGTACGCGGGACAGGTTTGGTATACCTTTTAAAGTGCAACACCGAGCGCGATTTCGTTTTTTTTCTCGTCGATACACGAGCTCGCGCGATCGAATTGCGACGCGTTGGAATTTTTCATACATTACTAGTACAGTATGGGAACGATCGTGCGCGCGGTTCCGTCGAAAAATCGTTGTTACCTACGCACCATCGTCTACGTTAACGAAGATCCGAGACTTTGTGTCCGAGACATAAACTATATACATACTGCAATTCCACCGCTACTATGCTCGTGCTGCGCCGCTGCGTATCGATACGAGGAAAACTCGCGCGCGATGACCTTCCAATGATAGCGAGCTCCATCACGAAATGCGCGCAAGTGAATATAATAAAAACCATCGCGCCAGCTCGACGTAATCGATGCAGCTCCGCGCGTAATAGATGTACCACGACAAGTATTCCATATTTTCGTATCGTATTTTTTTTTTCGTTAATATCTATAACGCATTGCTTTGCACGCGAGCGTCGAGCTGGCGCGGAACAGTTGTTGCTGTTCTCTTTCAGCTCTCTCGGCAGTTCTCTGTCGTAAATTATAAATAGTGCGTCGATAAGCTCGATACAGCTCCGTGTATATAATAACTCTTAATTTTAACCCACATTTTCAGTCTCTCTCTCTCTCTCTCTTTCTTTCTTTCTTTTCCTCATCACAACTGCCTCTACATATAATACGAGCGAAACTAAGTGCCGCACACGCGGATTTTCTTCTCCTCCTTTTTCTGCTTCTCGCGCGATTTATTACGAAAGACCAAAGAGTCGAATCGAAAACTCGGCGCGCACGCGCCGTATTAAACGTGTATGGTATATGTGACTTTTAATACACAACAATATATATTATACGAATCTCGTCGTGGTCGCGTATATATATGTGCTGTGTTGTGTTGTTGTCGCGGCAACGCTGCTCCCCGTTAGTAGTGTTATACTATAACATAATATAGCGCAGGGCATGTGTGCCTCGTGTGATTCATGCACGCAATATTCGAATCCGTATTATACAAGGAGAGGCACACTCGACTCCCGCACACTTTCTCTAATGAGTCAAAGGCGAACGTGTGATTTTTTTTGATACGCGACCCACACGCCGCGCGATTGTAATTTTTCGTTCAACGACTTGTTCGTTCTTAATATATATATATATATATATATATTCACGAAAGCCAATGCGAAAAAAAACTTTTTCAATTCAAGTTTTTAATTTGGCATGATTGCTGTATTTTATAAGGTAACGATAAAAGCGAAGCTTGCAGAATTGTCGAATGAGCGAACTAGAAAGCTCGGCTTAAAAAATAGGCCATCTCTCTTTGAGAGGAGACGCTTAAAACGCTCGACTCTGCAAATGTAAACATAACACGCACGTCCGCGCATTTAATGTCGTGTATTTACCTAAAAGCTCGTATCGGAGAGATATCCGTATCGCGGGACCAATTTTACGACGCTGCACTGCTTTCATATGTATTTGCGTTGCATTTCCTATACTTGATGTCTTGGATTTTTTTCTCGAAAAAAAAAGATTTTTTTTAATCCGAGCAAGTAGCGATAATTTTTCGGTCGAGCTCGTTGCAGTATCATACACGATGTTTACGCTGTTTCGGGTACAACTTTTGTTTCATTACATTTTCGTTTTTTTTTTTGTTGGCTTGCGTGCAAGAATAAGTGCAATTTACTTGCGCTCTACTCGTACGTGTACTATTTACAAAAATATCGATTAGCGCACAAAAGAAAGAAAACAAAAGGACAAAAAGTAAGAATATTCCCACAATTCGTATAAGTTTTGAAAAGCAGCGAATATCGTCGTAACTGCAACACGTGACATGGGCGACATTTAATTAGATTCAACAGCTCAGATCTGATAATTTTTACTATAGTCGTTTCGATACGCCGAAACGCAATTGATACCCTGGAATGTGCACGCGTTACACATTCGCTGTTTTTGTCATGTATAATTCTTAGTATCGCTCAGGCCACGAAGAGCACAAGTCGAGACAAAGATTACACCAATGAATCGAAATGTAACGGGTGCAAATTTATTCAAATGAAAATACTTTTTTCAAACATAGTATAAAAGTACATAAAGACCAATTAAATAATGATCGTATTTCATTACTACGATATTTCACTGCATTGTTCATTAGAAATACAAATCTTTGGATATTTCAAACCTCTTACGTCTTTGATTTTGCATACTTTCATTGAAATTCCGCAACTTTTTCTGCGCAATATGCACGAGCCTATAGCTGTGCCGAAAATTTTCAGTTATCCTGCGCGTACACGAGAGCCAGAGATTTTCACGTCGTAAAAAGAACGCTCGCTCGTGTAAGGCAATTTTGTGTATCGAGATACAAGTATTACACAGCGTATAGGTGTTGCTCTTGCGTATCTGTAAAATTTCTTGGGGCATGAATCATGCGAGACTCCGCGTGCAACGCGGAGAAAGTTCCTAAGCAATGTATCGGGCGCCACGAATAAACTCTCTATTGTGCGCGAGCGTATAATATATATCTGTACTCGCACGCGGAGAATACGAAAAATCGGTCGAGAGCATAATGTCGAGAGAGC